TTTGCAGTTTAAACGTAAACGTTCATGCATTAGTAGATTCACAACGATTCTCACTGAATGTTTATTTACCTGCCCAGACAGCCAGTATGAAAACTGTATGAGGTGAGGAGAGGGAAATCTAAGGCACCGGACAGATCGCCTGACAACGAGAATGTCAAGAAATGCACATGAATTACGGATTCTGAGATAAATAAATCTCAGATAGTAAATGTAATGGTAACACTTTATTATGATGGACCATTTGATTATTAGTAGACTGCCTGCTTAATATCTGTTGATACTGCTATTTCAACAGAAATTTAACTAAATGAGAAACCTTGCAAGTACATGTCAACTTACACTAACCCTAAGTCTAACCTAACAGTCTACTTATAATTCTAATGAGAATTAGCTGACATGTAACTTAAATTCAACAAACGGACCATCAAAATAAAATATGTGATCAATATAATAACAAAAATTCATTTTATTACCTGTTGAGTATGCAGAAAAGCCAAGTAATAGCACACTAAAAAACAAGTGTAAAATTACTCAAAATGTTTTATTTAATTAATTTTATATATATACAGTTGAAGTCATAATTATTAGCTCCCATTTGAATTTTAATGTTTCCCAAATGATGTTTCACAGTATGTCTGATAATATTTTTTTCTTCTGGAAAAAGTTTTATTCGTTTCATTTCAGCTAGACGAGTGGTTTTAAATTTTTCATGAACAATTTTAAGGACAAAATTATTAGCCCCTTTAAGCTATATTTTTACTTTTTACTATTTAACTATTATGTTTAGAAATGTGTTAAAGAAATCTTCTCTCCGTTAAACAGAAATTGGGAGGAAAAAAACAGGGGGGCTAATAATTCTGACTTCAACTGTATATATACAGATAAAGTCAAAATTATTAGCCCCCCTGAATTATTAGCCCCCCGTTTATTTTTTCCCTGCTTCCCGTTTAATGAAAAGCAGATTTTTTCAACACATTTCTAAACATAATCGTTTTAATAACTCATCTCTAATAACTGATTTATTTTATCTTTTCCACAATGACAGTAAATAATATTTGACTAGATATTTTTCAAGACACTTCTATACAGCTTAAAGTGACATTTAAAGGCTTAACTAGGGTAATTAGGTTAACTAGGCAGGTTAGGGTAATTAGGCAAGTTATTGTATAACCATGTTTTATTTTGTAGACTGTCGAAAATAGCCTAAAGGGGCTGAAAATTTTGTCCTTAAAATGTTTTAAAATTAATAACTGCTTTTATTCTAGCCGAAACAAAACAAATAAGACTTTCTCCAGAAAAAAAAAATTATCAGACATACTGTATGTACTGTATATGCTTTTTTAAACCAGAATGGAACCTTATTTCAACCATATTATTGAAGCACTTTTTAATACTTTCTATAATGCAGACACCATGTTTGACCCAAAGTCACTCAAACTTCTGTGAATATACACATATTTTTATATTCATCAATTTACCTGGTCACATTGTTGATGAGCTGCTCTTCAAAATCACTGTAATGAAACACATTGAAAAGAAAAAATATAATGAGATTTAATGTTTGCATGATATAATCAAGCATCTTCTTGAAGAATGAGCATTAATTTTTTCTAGGGCACCCATTGCAACATTCACTGGAAAAACCAGTGTTACTGGAGGTTATTACAAGACTTTTGAATATATTGTAAATCAATGTCAATCCATATCCAATAATTCTTTAGATTAAAAAAATAAACAAATGCTTCATAAGACTTGTGCATTTCCACAGCAAAACACAAGAAATTAATCAAATAATGGCATGGATGGGTCAAGTTTTAGGTTATTTCAGGTCAAAAGTAAAAAAGAAAATGCCTCTGCAAAATCCTGGAGAAAGTGTTCAATAAAGTCAGAATCTCCAGGATTTTCCAGGGGAATTTTAAAAAATATTTTTGACCTGAAATATCCTAAAACTTGACCTAAAAATGTACCATGCTTATTTGCCCATGATGAATCTAACTAAGGATCTAAGGATCTGAGCATACTTGTAGCAAACTTATATGTGTGTGTGTGTGTTTTTTTTTTTTTTAAAGCAACCATTTATTTGTGTTGTTTTATTTTCATTTTTTTATATTCATTAATTCTTAATTTAATTATTTTATTTAATCATATGATCATTAGTCATTTATATAATTGTCATTATATCATTTTATTTATCATTAGTTCATGATTTGATTATTATTGTTATTATTGATTGTCCTTTTATTATGTTTTTATGTTTTATTATTACTATTTTCCTATAATTATTGCTTCATTATTATTTATTATTTTCCATATTGTTATAATCATATAATTGTGTGGATTCAAGCGACACTTGTTTTCATGAGTAAGAGATAAGAGAATATCTCCATTTCAAGGTCTGTATTGCCTCTGGACAATGATGTGAAGCAGTAATTTTCCAATGCTGTTGCTTGTGGTATAGTAACACTTGTATTTTTCCTGGTGAGATGAAGTCTGAGCATTGAATCATACACAACTAAGATTATTCAACACACTCTGCTCTTTCTTTATCATCATTACTTCATCTCCTGCTTCTGCTCCTCTCTGGGTTTCTCAGTTAATTCCTATAGTCTGGTAATTCAGTTGAATACTGGTTAACATGTTTGGGTATTGGAAACTCTGCTGACTTGTTGTCCAGATACCTGGAGAAACTGACATTTCCTGACAAGATCTGGCATCCGGGGCTGGATCTTATTTTTCTGGCATGAAGAGTGTGATCTAACACCCATTAAATGTTGTAAAATTTCTATCTTAAACTGATTGCTGCTCTTAAAAAACCACAGATAAGACTGTTCATCAAAGAATCCAGAAAATATGTATAGATCATAACTGTTTACAACGTTTGTGTCAATAATAGATTCCTGAAAGATCATCTGACACTAAAGACTGGAGTAATGATGCTAAAGATATGACTGCATCACAAGAGTTAAAACCCGTTAAAAATACACAAATTTATTTTGATTTTCAATAATAATATTAATTCACAAAATTACAGTTTCTACTGCATCTCAGTTCAAATAAATGCAGCCTACAAGACTCCTTTTTAAAAACATTAATCTGTAGATCATATAAACCAGGACATCACCTCAGATGGCTTGACTTTGTGCTCTTCTGAAATACTTTATATGCACCTAAATCAGACACAAAAAACATAAAATGCACAATTTATTCAGTATTTCTCAGAATAATTCAGTATTTCTCATAATTCTGTGTCCCACGACACAAATTCACACTCACCAACACAGAACAGATGGATGGAGCCCCAGGTGTAGCCACTGGGACCAAACTGAGATCAAATTAATTGAAAACATTAATAGAGGACAAATGAAATGGAGATTTGTATGGTTACAGGAAACAGAAATATTGATATCTGACAACATCGACATTAGGAGTGTGCGTAATTTACTGTGGTAGAAGATAAAATCATACTTGTTTTAATGATGTGTGAGCTGACATTGATGTATGTATGCATGTATGTATGTATATATGCATGTACAGTTGAAGTCAGAATCAGAGCAGGGAAATTTTCACAGTATGTCTGATAATATTTTTTCTTCTGGAGAAAGTTTTATTTGTTTTATTTCGGCTAGAATAAAAGCAGTTATTAATTTAAAAAAAAAACATTTTAAAGTCAAAATTATTAGCCCCTTTAAAGCTATATATTTTTTGCTTTGATAGTCTAAAGAACAAACCATCATTACACAATTACTTGCCTAATTACCCTAACCTGCCTAGTTACCCTAATTAACCTAGTCAAGCCTTTAAATGTCACTTTAAGCTGTATAGAAGTGTCTTGAAAAATATCTAGTCAAATATTATTTACTGTCATCATGGCAAAGATTAAATAAATCAGTTATTAGAGATGAGTTATTAAAACTATTTGGTTTGGAAATGTGTTGAAAAAAAAATCTCTCCGTTAAACAGAAATTGGGGGAAAAAAATAAACAGGGGGCAAATAATTCTGACTTCAACTGTATGTATGTTTTAATGGCATATCAGCAGCATTAGCTATATTGAATATACAATCATAGCTGCTTTTTAATCACTCGTTTTACAAAGAAATATACAAATAACAACAACATGAATAATTAAAAAGTCATATAAGTTTGAATTTGATCAATGATAAATACTCTAAAATCCCTCTAGAAGACACCGTTTTAAATATTACAAATATTTCATCAGTAAAAACTTTCTCTAATATCGTTTCAAAATATGCCTTCGATTAAAATATGTTTTTATTATCAAAATACTTTGTGACTAAGCCAACACAATTTCACAGCAAATAGTTTTTTGTTTTTATTGCGAACTCATTCATGCATTTTTGTACGATTTTCTCATGCCTCAATGAAAGGCAGGTTTAGAGATGTGTTTGAAGGAACGTCTCCTTTTAAAAATTTTACAATTTCATATGAATTAAACTGTATAAACTAGTACACTTCATACAAATTTTGTATATACGTCAAATAGTTGGGATGAATAAAGTAGGGTCAGAATAGGTCTTAAAAAGCAAGTTAGAAAAAATATTTTTAAAAATCCCTTACGAGTTTGTGCTTTTCTTTATTTATAAGATATAATATAGTTCAGTAGTATAACAGAATCAAGATTGCTGTCATACTGAATAATCAGCTGTCACAAATGTGATATTGATTTTACACAAGAGTTCAACAAGAAGTTGAAATTGAGGGAGATACATATTAGATACAGATATTACTTGTGTAAAATATATGAAATGGAAATTTTTTTTTTTGTTGCTGTGCTTTTTGGCTAATAAAAATAGCAAATCATCAAAGCCAGAGCAGTGCATTTGTGTTTCATAGGAGCAACACTGCAGTGTTTTTGTTCCTGAATGAATCTATTTTTGAGCAAATCATTTGAATAAAAGATGTAACTCTTTATAGGGCACTTATTGAAATACTCACTCAATACTGGAGTGTTATTGGGGATTATTACAAGACTTTTCAACTTTTCAACATTAATGAAGTTACAATATATGATTCCTCGCCTGACAAAGGGTTAATAATACATTTTAAAAGACATCCACTTGCTTCATTTCCAAATAAATCAGCCGTTTTAACTAATCATTTCAATAAATGATTCAGCCAGTTAGCTGACAAGTGTATTGGCAATTTTAGTGTCATGTTTATTTATCCATAACAGCCCAAAAACAGCAAAGAAAAAAACACACACTTATTAACAAACTATTAATGTCTAAAATACTGAAATTTTGTATTTTGTTAACATTACACACCCTTAAACTCATTGAAAAAAAAACCTGGAGTGTTACTGGATGTTATTCCAAAAGATTTGAACTTTTATCTTCATTCTTTCCCCATGAAAAGGGTTTAATGTTTGTATTTGAGAATGAACGTACCCGAGGATTGTACAGAATAAGGCCTGTAGCAGATCCCAGCAGCAAACACACACTAGAAACAACAGATCTGTAGTTTAGTCCTTTTTACTTTGTTTTAGTTAAATATTTGTTTAAAAGAAACATACCTTACTAATTTCATCCATGACGGTTTCTGAGAAATGTAAATAAGAAACTTTAATGGCTGCACTGAAATCTGAGCAAGTATGGGAATGTTCACTGAAGTTTTATTTGCTATGAACCTTTATAAATACATTTTTTGAATGTAAAAAGTTTTTAAATTATAAAACTAAGCCAGGAAATATCCAATTCCTTGTATCTATTCAGTTAGATAGCTTATTTTACTTTATTAATGTGTTCAGGGTGCGAATTATACATTGACTATAGGGGGTCAGCTCTTTCAGTAGTTTGTGTAAATAAACATGCATGCTTCAGTCAACCAAATTCATATTTTTAATTCAATTACATCTCATTGGTTATCAAACTTATTTAAGTTTTATGTGTTTCGAAGGATATTGAGCTGATTCTGACCTATACTGTAACCTCTGATGGGTCAAATTTAAGGAGTTTTCAAGCACTTTCCAGGGGCATTTTAAATTACATGAGTTTAGGCTATATGTAGATTAAAAACACCTATTTTAATTTTTTTTTTTAAAGAAAAGTGCTTTCGAACACTTACAGTATCAGTCTGTAGGCTACATCTGCTGGTGTGTAGATTCTAGATTCAGTCTGCCGAATGAGCGTTTTCCTGCATAATGAGGCTACTGGGCACGATCATGCATTCACAATGGTATAGGGGTGGTCGAATGTATGTTAATGTTATATTTATTTCTTTATTTTCATTTTTAATGTTATTATTTAAGATACAGATCAATATGCACTATTTTACATTGCTTAAAGAGTTGACTGAATGTTGTTTTGGTGACTTTCAGAGGGATCAAGGGTTATTTAACCCCCCAACCATTTTTAGGGAACTAACATTACACTATTGTTTTAATGCTGTTTATACTTTATTATTGTATATATAATTATTTAAGTCATAAAAATGAATTATGTTTTCTTTTCTTATTATATTTTCCTGTAAAGATTATGATCATTTACATTTGCAATTTGTAATGAACTAATCTTTTAATAAATAATTTCAGTAATTCATTAATGTATTTTTAAAGTGTATTTTTAATGTATTTTTTTACTGATTGTTTTCTTAATTTCAGCTGCCAAAAGCTAGTTTTAAGTTTAATTTTAGTTTTAGTTAACAATAGCAATCCTGTTCAAGAATTTACATTGGTTTCCCATCACACTGTTGACATGTATTAAGTAACTTAATTTAGATTGATTAATTTATAACATGTATTAAGCATTTATAATGAGGCTACTGGGCACGATCATGCATTCACAATGGTATAGGGGTGGTCAAATGTATGTTTATGTTATATTTATTTCTTTATTTTCATTTTTAATGTTATTATTTAAGATACAGATCAATGTGCGCTACTTTCCATTGCTTAAAGAGTTGACTGAATGTTGTTTTGGTGTCCTTCAATGGGGATCAAGGGTTAATTAACCCCTCAACCCCCCTATAATTCACACCCTGAATGTATTTATATATGATTTTGACGGCATATACTTACTTTTCTGTGAGTTACTGTTATCATGAGAAACACAAAGACTTCTGAAGCATTTTGCAACACGAAGAAAAAGGGAATGGGCTGAAAAAAGGGAAAAAAGATTAAAACATCTAAACGTAAGCAGAAATAAAGTCTTTTTTTTTACCTACCAAAAGTGACAGCGCTTTGGACCCCGCATAAATGTTTCCGATAAATAAAAAGGCTCCGGGAAGCTGTGAAAAAGCTGCAGATCTAAATGACAAATGCAGCAAGAACACAAATATGAATAAACATATATCATATAATAGTCCATTTGTAATATAAAAGCATTTTTAGTCACCTGGAGAAGCCATTGATTTCAACCCAGCCTAGTTTCCACGTAACCAGAAGCAAAAGAGCCCCAGTGGAGGTCTGCCACCTGTACAGAGTTAATTAGCACATGAATATTTAAATATTATGTAAATGAGGAACTGTATATACATATGAGGCACGACGTTATAAATATATTTACATACCCTTGAAATATAGTCGGAAATGTAAACCTTAAGACAGACAGGACATACTGTAAAACAAAAAACAGTTGAATTGGTTTGACTACACAACTTCGTTAATATTTATGACAGAAAATTCATACATTGCTGCATGCAGTACATAAAACTACAAGGGAACACACACACGCGTGCAGTGAAGAGTGTATTTAAATTAAATTACCTTATTAGTGAAGTAAGACGCTGTGAAAAATGTGCAAAATATTAGCGCGAGAATCACTCGAGCGACATTCATTGGACTGAAAACATCAGAAACTTTATTTGCCCGCAGCTGCTCTGATGCTCTTCTCTCTCTCTGACATCTCAGCTGGACTTCCGCTGCTCTACTGGCCGCGCCCACTTTGACACGTAGCACATTTTCAACCAATAAAAGTCTGGATCTGTGTGAAAAACATTTTAAAGAGTGCATTTAACAACAATTAATGAATTAATTGATTGATCAATTAAATACATTTTACTCAAATCTTCTAGAATTTATGTTATTATTTATATTATTGCTAATGATACATTTTATAAAATGTATATGATCATTTAAATAGATATCAATATTATTTACTATATTTATAGACTATTTATTTACATAATATATTTACTAAATTTCTGCTGATTATTGTTGTGCAATAGAGTAAAAAATTAAATGCAGAATAAAACAATAATTTAAAAACTATTTAATATCTAATAACTAAGGCTCTGACAACTTTTAAGCCTTATCATTTTTAACCTTACCCTTACAAAAAGCAAAAATAACGACATACTTTCACATTACTTTACTTAAAAAACTAACTAAGTAAGACCTTTATTTACCTTTTTAAGTCACTTAAATACTACTACTATCATTTAAGTATGGAGGACGAAACCTGCAAAAAACAATAAATAAATATGCAAATAAATAAACAACTGAGTAAATAAATACACAAATTCCTGCATAAATATAACAATAAGTACGCAAATAGATAAATAAATAAATGTATATGCAAATCTATAAATTCCTACTTAAATAAATATATAGCATTTTCTTATTCTCCCAACATCTGTGTAATTTATTTAATTATTAATCTGCCCGCACTATTAATATATTTATTTATGCAGAATTTGTGTTTTTTATATAATGATTTACTTAGTTGCATATTTTTTTTTTTATTTATGCAGGAATTTATGGATTTATTTACACATTTATTTATTTGCATATTTCTTTATTTATTGTTTTTGTAAGTTTCGTCCTCCATAGTTTATATGTTCAAAAATATTTTATTATAACTATAAAATATACAAACAATAAGGAACGTTATTAATTGAGTATTTTAAATAATTAAATAATAGATTAAAATTGTAACTATTGATTACAAAACACATTGAAACAACCAACAGACATATACACATACATACATACATACATACATACATACATACATACATACATACATACATACATACATACATACATACATACATACATACATAAATAATAAAATTATAATAAATAAGTACGTAATAGCAATAATAATAATAATAATAATAATAATAATAATAAATAATAATACTAAGAAGAAGTAAATAAACTAAATGAAATTATATAAAGATATTATAATAGTAAAATTAAATTAAAATTAAAAATTAAAATTAAATTATGACAAACCATAACTCAAAATGCCGCAAAGTGCAAAAAAACATCAATAAAATCCAAGAATAGAGTCCAGACTTGATGAAAGCCTCAGTTGACATTTGAATGACACAGGTAATGAATTTTAAGGAAATCCTTTTATTAATTGGTTATTAATAATAAAAAAAATGCTGTTTTATTTTCATAATATCATAAAGTAAGATTTTCCTGTTCATTTTCTTTATATCCTCATTTAAGAAATCACTGTAAATATATATTTGCATGTGACTTTTATTTTGAAAACAGCCATTACGTCGTAACGGGTAG